CGGTTATTCCCGCTCGTCACCCCAAGCTTTGTCCCCTCCGGTGACAAGTGGGAATTATATTGAAAAAAAATCCCATATGTCACCCCCAGGTGACGAATGGGATTCCACTTAGAAATCATCCCAGTCGTCACCGCTAATAAAAGCTTGCTAAAACCATAGTTTTACATTGCGAATGGAAATTTGTTTTTGAACTAAATAATACAATAAAATTAGACAGCCAAAACTTTTTATTTGCTTTTATTTTCAAAATCAGGTTCTAAACGTTTTACATTCAACACAAAAGTATTAACAACAGTCTTTGCATATTATCACAAATCAACACAATTTACATAATTGACTAGGCTACATTCATTGGTTCAGTTTGAAAGTAATCACAATAGCATTACAAAATATAAAAAAAATAATTTTTTGGATCTTGTGATTTTGTTATTTTAAGTTTACGGCCCGTATCCCAAATTGCTTTGTTATAGTGGTAATAACATCCTTTTGAATTAATTTGTGGAAATACGTCCTTAATTGCGGCCATTGCCGCTTTTTCGAAGTCAGTTTTGTATTTGTTCGGATTCCACCCGGGGATTTAGTAAAATAATCACTATACTCGTAGTTAGTTACTGAATACTTTTGTGTTGAATGTAAAACGTTTAGAACCTGATTTTGAAAATAAAAGCAAATAAAAAGTTTTGGCTGTCTAATTTTATTGTATTATTTAGTTCAAAAACAAATTTCCATTCGCAATGTAAAACTATGGTTTTAGCAAGCTTTTATTAGCGGTGACGACTGGGATGATTTCTAAGTGGAATCCCATTCGTCACCTGGGGGTGACATATGGGATTTTTTTTCAATATAATTCCCACTTGTCACCGGAGGGGACAAAGCTTGGTGTGACGAGCGGGAATAACCGAAAATTACGCGTTACTCACTTAAAATTATACGAAGAAAAGCTCTACTAGTTTCGAGTCACAGAGTTACTCTTCCTCATGAGCAGCGTGCGTAGTCGTGGTGACATCGCGCAGCCTACTATTAGTAGTTTTTCTCGGTATATTTATGTGGGAAGCTCGCAATTTTTAACGTAAAACATTATCTAATTAACATTCTAAATAATTTATTTTCTCCAGGTGATGACAAGAAAATTAAAGTTTGGGACTTAGCCGCATGTACCTGTATTCATGAGTACAGAGGGCACCATGGAAAAGTCACTGCATTGGACTGGTCAGCTGTTGGGAAAGCAAGCTTGACAAACAGGGTCCTCCCAGATCCAAGTGACCCATTAATTGACAATTCTTTACTATGTTCTGCTGGCATGGATGGAATTGTCAAAATTATGTCAGATTGTAATTCTAAGAATAAGTATGTTTCATTTGTACTGGATTAGAGTACACTTTAGACAACATACAAAGTCTGATTTTAATGCTTTTTTTTGCAGACAAGCATCAGGCCTAGATGTGCAGTCCTCCACCTACAACACAAAATGTTCCTACTTAGTTGATGTCCAAGTACATCCAGACTGGGTTGTGGCCATTGGAACTAAAAGATAATACATCTACATCTCATACTGTTTTAATTTTTGATAAATAAATAATAACTTCAAGTTGTTGACTTTTAATATTAAACATAATTTTATTGAACATAACATCACATACATAATTGGTGAAACAAATAAAAAACAATTAGGCACTTTATTTTTAACCAAGCATGATTATTTTGAGGTCTTTCAGACCTTTTTGAAAAAACTGTTTATTGTAGCTTGTTTGCCTTTTTTTGGTGGTGACAATTTCTTCTTACTTTTTGTTTCTTTTTTTATAGTAGGCTCATTTTTAACTGGTTTCACTTGTCCAGTGTTTATTGTTTTTAATGGTGAAGTATTATTTTTCTCAATTTTTTGATTCTCTTTTATTTCTTCTTCCTCATTTTCAGAGCAACTCTCATAAACTTCTTCTTTTTTGGTAAGAATATAACCATCTTCATCAGTGTAGGTTTTATCGACAATCTTTCTCCGTTTTTTAGGATTTATGATTCCTGATGTTATTTTGACCGTATTTATGGTTGGTGTAGGTGGTATTTCATCCTCTGACTCATGATCAACATCCATTTCTTTAGCAAATGGATCATCTCCTTCATTGTCACTTTCACTGTCAGAAACATGTAATAATCTTTTGCGTTTCTTATCAACTTTGGCATTCTTCTTTATTGAAATGTTATTTTTATTATTTGATTTGGTTTTGATACTTTCTGCTGAACCATTAGCTATAGTATTGGATGGCACATCAGTGTCTTTTTTAACTGGCTCCACTTTGTCTTCTTTTTCTTTTTTAATCTCTGGTTCTGAAACTTTAGCTTTCTTATTTTTGGATGAATCACCATTAACTTTACTGAAAAACCCTGCAATACCTCCTGGACCACTTTTGTTTCCGTTAAGTTTAGCTAGAGTTTTTTTAGTTGGTGAATTCTTCTTTGGTGAAGTTTTTTCAGATTTTACTTCAGGTTCTACCTTAACTTCAACTGTACTTCTTACCTCTTTATTTACTTTGTCTTTAGATGACTGTTGTATATTTGATGGTTTTGATGCATTCAAAACAGCTTGATTGATGGATTTTAAACTACCAATTTCGTCATCAGTCCTTTTAGAACAAGAGTTAGCTTTTATCAACCCAGTACATAGGGAGATGTCTTCGAATTTGCTTACTGCACTTAATGCAACAATTTCTGCTGCTTGAAGACCTCTGCTAACACAATACACATGCTCGTAAAAGATCATTTTCAAAGATTTTCTTAAGCTGTCCAAATCTGGTTCTGGGCATACAGTAACACATCCATTGTCATTATTTAGCAATCCCGCTATCACATATGAAATACTGAGGTCAGTTTCTGGGTTTATTTTTCTGATATCCTGTATTACTTCTCGCAGTAATGTTTTAGCTTCATTCACATGAATACACAGCTCTTTGCTAAGTGAAATATAAGTCACCAATTTATGCTCGTCTAAAATTAGTTCTCTCACTCTATTAATGTTTGTTTTATTGACACCCATTTTCACCAGAATGTTCGTTTATTAACGAAAATAAAATATCAAAATCAAAGTAGCGATCCGACTATTTGCCGCACTTTTGGGAAATTGGCATTTGATTGATTTTAGCTGACACTGACAATTGACACATATTTAAAACACAAGTAGAGTGAACCTCCATGAAGAAAAGAAATGTTTCCTAAAATTTTTATTTTGTAAAAATAAGTGTTTTGAAATGTCGTTTGGTATGGTTAAATTTGTTCAAAAAAATTTGTTATTACTTAATAGGTTTAATTGATTTATTTATTAGGTGATTTTTCGGATAGATGATCAAATTGGATAAATATCGAGTAAATATTAATTAACCGTTCATACTCAAGAATTTATCAAAATAGTTGATAAACATTCAATATTTCCTAAATATGAACTGCATAAATACAAAATACCTGTTAAATATATAAATAATAACTAAATGGCTAAAATACGTACAACTTAAACTTACATTAGTATGTACTACCTATTATCTATACTAATATTATAAAGAGGAAAGATTTGTACCTATTTTTGTATGTTTGTAATGAATAGGTTCAAAAAGTATTGGGCCGATTTAAAAAATTCTTTCACCAATAGAATGCTAAATTCTTCCAATTTGACATAGGCTACATTTCACTATGAAAAAAAATAGGGATCCTTGGTAAAATTTGAACAATGTAACCGAAGGTGTAGAAAAAATACTCTTAAAATATCTTTCGTCGAATGCGCTGCCGAAACTATTAGCGATAGAACAAAATAATGTACAACAATATTGAAGAACATCATAATGTCTACAAAAATCTCCGCGGTAGCATATGAAAGAAAGAAAGAAAGAAAAATAGTTTATTTGCACACCGTCACAAGGTACAATAGCACAAAAATATAAAACAATATAGCAAAGACGGCGCAAAAAGGCCAGAGCTCAGCTTAAATGCCGTGACACGAGTGTGGTCGAGTCGCGGCGCTGATTTTCAGCACTTGCCCGTGACTTATAATATTATACATATAATAACAAAAAAAAAATATATATATAGGTACATACAAATTAAAATAAACAATGTGGTGAAAATAAAAAAAATAATAATAAGTAATTAAATAATAAATCTCGCGAACTAAATGCATGCTTGACACTGACATTTACATCACAGATGTCACATTCGCTAATAACCTCAAGCGCACGCGACGACGCAGTAGGTACCGGTAAGCGGTAATGGCGTCCCCGTTTATACATATTAAACTGTAATATAATATGTCCAACTATTGTAGTTATGTCACTACAACAATCGAAATTTCCAAAAATAAATAATTGTCTACCCCGTGCGAAGCCGGGACGGGCTGCTAGTTATGTATAAAAATGAAACCAGTTGCCCGTTGTCACGTCATATCTTGAGAACGGCTAGACCGATTAGGCTGACCTTTTTTTGTTGTTTTTGTAGTCAGGAGAAGGTTCTTACGTCAGAAAAATTCTGAAAATTCTACGAGAACGGGAGAAATGAGACTTATATATAAAAAAGAAAAGAAACTAACTTATGACATCGAAATAATTATCCTCATCTCAATAATTAGTCATGAAGAAGGGTGCTTAATAACTAGGAGCATTGCCACGTTGGATGGCATCTTGACAACCCTAGAAATGTCAGTTTGACATACGTGTTATGTCATAATATGTCACAGAGATGATCTTTAAGTTGATGGCTCTATGGTTTATGGACTGCTTTGAGTTGTAGTCTGACCAATTTGACTCAATCACAAACTTGACTAACTTGAGGTAAATAATATATATGAATTTTGATTAATGCAAAGAATTCAATCAAAGTAATGTTTTAATCCTGCAATGATATAATTTGATTAAGTGTATCAAAAATGTGAGTATTGTTTTGAAACAGACTACTGCTATTTTGGACACAGGTATAATTACATCATTTCTATTTGTATCAGCAACCGGATGGATTCTGCACAAAATTTGTTACTCAGAAGTGTTCTGATGTTTAGGTTTATTGATTAAAATAATTCTTGTTTTTGACAGAACTAAGTTGAAGAGCACGTAGTATATTTATAAGCAATTGAAAGCGAAAATGCCAGGGTAAGCTACATCTGTGATATTAGTCAGCCGTGGGAGGGAGTGGTTAACATGACTTGTACGGAATGCTCATAACAGGCACCTAAGCTTTAATATAATAATTATATCATAGACACTTCTAAAAAAATACTAGGCATAGCACAGATCATTTCAAACAAAAAAACAAACACGTAAATAATCATTGACCTAGATTCTAAAAAAGCTTTAAATAATATAATGTTAGTTTTCATAGAAAAATGTTCAAGGTTTGTAATAGACAGTCATTTACTGTAGGTAGTAAGCACCACAACCTTCTTTCAATGCATTAATTAATTTAATAAATTGCATTTTTTCTAATGAGGTTGTTATAATTACATTTTATCACATCATTTACTAAAATATCTGACATTCGCAACTACAAGCTTATATTAAATGTATATTTAATCAACTTACAATTTTTTATTAAAAATTTCCTGTTTTACACATCAGGAAAATAATAGTCATTAATGCCATATATTAACAAAATATAACAATTAAATCACTATGTAAGTATTATGTTTTGTTGATGTTCATTTGTAATATTTTTTTTAAAGACATGATTCAATAAGGTATTTTGTTGATTTAATAGGAATAGTTATTCATAAAAAGCAATAATAAATTTGGAAGAGAAAACTCATAGTTTCCTTTTAAACTGTCAAACACCGAGCGGTCACCAGTGACCGCAACCTATTGTTCTTTAATTGTGTCTATAATGAACCGTCATTATAGCCGAGTACCGACTCAACGAGTTAATTGAAATCATTTTTTGCAGATTAGCAACAATGTCTCTGGATAATATGTTTTGTACCCGCTGTGGGGATGGTTTTGAGCCAAATGAAAAAATTGTCAACTCAAACGGAGAACTTTGGCATACCAACTGCTTTGTGTAAGTTATTTTATATTTTATTCTCTAAAAAGTAAATATACATATGTTTAAAATATACTATGTTTCATTGACCATGAAATGAAATTCCAGGTGTGCACAATGCTTCCGTGTGTTTCCCGAAGGCATATTCTACGAGTTTGAAGGACGTAAGTACTGTGAACGAGACTTCCAAGTGCTGTTTGCTCCTTGCTGCGGAAAATGTGGTATGTATTATATTCAATTATAGATTCTGTTTTATGATCTCTGACTAAATGAGGTGAACAAAACTGGTTATTGATCTATTTAACTGTTTTTCAGGGGAATTCGTAATTGGCCGTGTGATTAAAGCAATGAATGCCAACTGGCACCCTGCATGCTTCCGTTGTGAGGAATGTAATGTGGAGCTGGCCGACGCAGGTTTTATTAAAAATGGTGGGCGTGCTCTCTGCCATACTTGCAATGCTCGCATCAAGGCTGATGGGTTGTTGAATTACATGTGCCATAAGTGCCAGTAAGTATATTATGTACTTTTATCCTCATTATTATTCATTTGATTTACCCTGTTCCTAGAAGACACAGGAAAATAAAAATGTACTGCTGTTCTTAGCTGGCTAAGTCAATTTTACAGTGGATCATTCATAGAATTATGTTATACAGTTACGTTAATATTTATAATTTTACACACAGTGGCGTGATCGACGGCGAACCTCTGCGTTACCGTGGCGAGGTGTATCATGGCTACCACTTCACATGTGCCACATGCGGAGTAGAACTGGATCATACAGCTAGAGAAGTCAAACATCGCCCTGGATATGCTGCCAATGATGTGGTAATTATGTTTTCAATTAGGAAAATTAATGTTACATATAACACAAGCATTGCCTCACATCATTCTTGTTTGGGGCTGTGGTATGACTTGAGTAATTCCAATCATGCCAAATCATAATGTTAATGTTTTATTCTTCAGAACAATCTCTTCTGCCTCCGTTGCCATGACAAGATGGGTATCCCCATTTGCGGAGCTTGCCGACGTCCTATCGAGGAGAGAATTGTCACTGCCCTTGGAAAGCATTGGCATGTTGAGGTATGTAACTTTAAAGCAATCTGAAGTCCACCGTTTTTTTTTTCGAAAGAAATAAAGAGTATAAAGTCTGTCTTCCCAAATATCAATAATTAAAATTAACCAACATTACTTGTTTGTAGCACTTCGTATGTGCCAAATGTGAGAAGCCATTCCATGGTCATCGCCATTACGAGAAGAAGGGACTTGCCTACTGCGAGCAGCATTACCATCAGCTGTTTGGAAATTTGTGCTATGTGTGCAACCAAGTCATTGCTGGTGATGGTAAGTATATTCCCAGTTGTTTAAGCTGTTTATCGAATAGTTCTACAGAAGTAATTTTATATTTTTTCAACAGTTTTCACGGCATTGAACAAAGCATGGTGTGTACATCATTTTGCCTGCTCCGTTTGCGATGCACCACTGAGTACCCGAAGTAAATTCTACGAATATGACGAACGCCCTGCTTGCCGACGCTGTTACGAGAAGTTCCCAGCCGAATTGCGCCGTAGACTGCGTCGTGCGCACCACTACACTATCCGACGTTAAAATATAATATTTTACGATACATGCAAAAAAACTCATAATCTCCATAAAATTGTTTCAATTTTAATATTGTTTTATATGTCAGCAATTAAATGCACTGTGCCTTTATCTAAGGTCGTACGATACAAGAAAAGTACAAAATTCATTCCGGTATTTATGAAAAATCAAGTTTTTGAGCACCAATTGGCGCTACTAACGTGTTAACTCTTATGTCTAACCAATTCAATGTCGTTACAGTTAACTGCATTTAACACTTGTTTCGGACCATTGTCCTTAATGAATGGTACAAGATTTATTATTAATTTGCCTCATAAATTAATGTGCCTTATAATGTTATTTTTTGTGCCTAAATAGTAATAAAAGGAAAGTATATTTAATAACAAGTAGATCTTATGTTATTGATAATTTTATTTAATATAGATGTTTTAGATATAATAAGTAAATAGATATATAATATAATAAGTAAAAATGTTATCAACCGTATTTTTATGGGCTTAGATTATTGACTTTACTACTCTATTATATAGATTAACAATGTAATGTAGAATTATAAAAAAAAAATACATAAAATACTAATGATTACTTTTATATCATCTTGTTTTACTAATGATTTGTAGAAATATAATAACTTGTAACAAAAATATGCGTTTTTTTTTCTATTTAGACTACTAAGTAATACGTTTTCCTCATCTTCTGGTGGATCAGAATCACCACCATCTCTGTATCGAGTCAGTCTTTATTATCTTACCTGCAAATTAAATAGCTGGTGACTACTTGACAATGTTATATTTTGGTTAAGAAAATGAGATGTCGCGCAACTTATTAGAGCCGATATTACCAACGCCAGATAAAGTTTAACTGAGCGTTAAGCATTAACTACATATTCGACAATTCAAACCGTCAATACTAATTAATGCCAATTTTATTCATATACAGTAAATTATTAACTGATGACTGAAAAATCGGCTCTTAGCCACTCTAGCGCACCGCCCCCTATACTTATTATACTCTTTGCGCACTCTTTGCGTTAGCAACGCGTATCTAACGCCCGCGCAACGCGGTCGCTAACGCGTCGCCGACGTCTCCTACTTAAAGCCTATTTTCTACCAATCTACAATTGTTATGGCAAATAAAAAACTACCAGTATAAAGCTGACATTTTAAGGAATACAATTTTTCTTAGCTAGCTATTCGAGCGCCCACGTGCCAATACTGATTATGCCGCCCCCCTTTTTGTTGAGTGGGTAATAATAAGTCATTTGAATGATTCTTGAGGAAGTGACTATTACAATCACCCCATTCCTTCCAATACTTGCTCAAAGCCAGGGCCTCAATACCCATATGACAACCAACCCTGCATGGCAACAATCCTGGTGGGCCCTGTCTATTTGTGGTCTGATGGCTCTTTGAGGCCTGCATTTTACGCGACGCGCCGAACGCTCGGGTCTGGTACTTGTCAGGGAGTGAGCGATAGCTCAGGAGCGCGTTTTGATAACGCGGGGTTACAGATACATACATATTATTTCACGTGTGAACAGTCTGAATACAATGTATGTAAAATACCTGTACCTATACAGTTCTAAGCGCGCGTTTTAACGCTTGCCATGTGAACATAGGCTTTTTTTATAACATAAGCCGGTAAACGAGCAGATGGATCGCAATCGGCATCGCCCATGAACACCTGGAACACCAGAGGCGTTACAAGTGCGTTACTGGCCTTTTGGGGATTAGGCGTTTGAGGATCGTTGGGGATTCAGGAATTGGGGAGATTAGGGAAGGGGAGGGTAATTGGGCCTCCGGTAACCTCACTTACTCACTCACACGACGAAACACAACGCAAGCGTTGCTTCACGTCGGTTTTCTCTGAGGCCGTGGTATCACTCCGGTCGAGCCGGCCCATTCGTGCCGAAGCATGGCTCTCCCACGCTTAACCTCGAAATACTCAAACACTACTCAGTTTTAAGTCGTTCTCCCCGTAGATGTTTTTAATATTTGTTACTACTAATTCCTTGTAAAATGACAGAGATGGCACGATACAAAATGTATTCTTTCAGTATTCGGGTGTTAGTTTATCTGTTGCTCTGGAATATTTACAAAAACTTAAAAAAAAAAGTTGCCCCACATTAGGATTTTCTCCTGTGTCGTGGATGAGTTTACAAACATACAAGTTCACATACACAATGACACCCAGACCCTAGATAATTACTAAATATGTAGAATTGAAGCCAATGCTAAACTCATGGTCTTTGAAAGTGACTAACGTACTTTATTAGGAAACATGTAGATATGAAATGATAAAGTAATAGATTAAAATGAAATTTGTTTAGTACAGGGAATGTATTTATTTTCACAAAATCGCAACAGTATCTCGCTACATATACCACTTCACACAGAACAACACTAAGCTGTAAATATTGATTTATATAGAGCAATATGTATATCAACGTGCAAAGTTAATTATTTACAGAAATAAACACATCTATAAATCACAGTAAAAATTACATTTATTTAAAAAGAATATGTAATAAATTATTGCCTGTAGTTGTGAAAAAATTTCTGAAAGGTAAACTTGTAGATACACTAGATTCATAGGATATACATATAATACAATTTGAAAATAAATAACGATGGTTTAAGCACATAACAATGATTTACTTTATAACTAAATAAACACTATTTTTAATATTAAACATCAAGTTTTGTATGTACAGAAATAGTCAACAAAGGTCTGTACAATATTAATTTTCAAGGAACAACAATGTGATTTCTCTTAGTTCCAATATTTAAATAAACTGGACTCTAATACAATACTGCAATAAGAACTTATTTAAGTTCTACAGATTTAAAGACTTAATTGTCCTTCTTCATTCTTGTGCTAGTCATCCTGTAGATGATGGAGTCCCTGCCAGGATCCATGTCCATCAGAGCGTATACAATCGCTATCAGACTGAAAATTATTACCACAGCAAACCAAAGAATAATGTTGAAGATGGCAGGGTATTCAGAGCTGTAACTGTCATCAGTTTCATCTTCCTGTAATTGAAAATTATTTTGTTAGTAATGCGAATATTGGTGTTTGCTTAGATAGAAACTATAAGTTAAGTGAAAAGCTCTTGGGGTCTTACCGCTTTGAATTCCTTTGTTTGCCATTCATATTCTGGTGCCTTGCCATCTGGGCCAGCAGCGGGAGCAGATCGAATGGTGCGGCGAGTGTGGGCAACATCAGTAGTGACAAGGGTTACTAATACAGAGCCATCGTAAGCTTTGATGAATGCCTTGTTGAGTTGATCAATAGCTTCACCTGTATTAAAAATCCAACATTAATTTGATTGGCTCATCTTATAAATCTTACAGAATAAATTGGTACTAAACTGTAAATGAATGTCAAATTTTTTTTCCTCTTACCTAATAATTTCTTGGCTTCTTTGGTATGGACAGAGTTAGGGCCATGGAAGTCACTCAGAGGATGCAGAGTACGGAAGCGTAAGTTGTAGAAATCAATCATGTTATCAGGGACAATATCTCCATTCTCAATCTGGAAATGAGTATTAAAATGTTAACCACCTTTAGTACGGAAGTATTTCCTAATGTTACGTTTTAATAAAAAAATAATGGGAATTTTGTAATTTCATTAATTTACCTTTGTAGTAATAGCTTGCAGGGAAGCCAGCTCATTCAAGAAGTGGTAGTCTTCTTCTACATTATACTTTAAGTGCATAAGGTTTAGTTTCGTTAGCTTGGATTTCTTTGCATCACCAAAGATATTCTTCTTGAGCTATAAATTATTAAACATCATTAGTAACCTTCACTTATAAATAACGAAATAATATACACATGAGTATGACAAATTAATTGGATTTCTGTATCAGTACATTGGTCAGTGAAACAATAACAATATTTTCATATAACAGTTGTAGCAATTGGTGTTCCATAATCTCTGCTTACCCCGATGAGAGACAGACAGGCGTGAGGTTATGTATGTATACTGTATGTATGTATGATCAGTGAACTAAACTCGTGTGTTTAAATGAATTAAGCCTAAACACCACATTATAAGCAGACATAAAGGCAAACAAGTTAATAATATTTTGATAGTTTATACTATCAAAAAAGATTTTCAGTTACCTCATCAACATCAGTCAGTTTGATGTTAACAATTTTGTTTCTGCCATTGGTGAAGCGCTGCAAGATTCGGTGCTTCACACCGTGGTAGGTGTCTGGTTCATATTCATCGACAATCAAAGGATAGGTCTTGGTTTTCAATCCCGCCTGAAAGTAAATTATTTTCCATATTTGTTTCATTATAAACAATTTGTTTCAATTTTCTAAAGTTACTTATACTACAGTAACTTTAGAGTCAAGTTACCTCGTCAACGAGAAAAAACATAATTGAGTAACATCAGACAGAGAGTTATAATAAAACAGTCTCTTTCAATAATATTACTATACTTACATGACCAAGGCTTGAGACACCATCTATGTAAATTTCAACCACAGCTTCAGGTGTGTTGAAAGGATCCACAACATACATTCCTTTCCATTCTGAATTCTGGAAAACAGTCATTGAATGCATGACAAAACAATATTGATAAAATTGCTTTTTCTTGTAAAACGAACACACCTATTTTATATTAAAATCTGATAAGTTTACATAGCACTCTGTTACACTTTGACCAAAATCTAATAAGACTATTCCAATGAGCCTGTGTGTGTACTCTTAAAATCATTCTTAGTCGATATTTACAGCCATATTATGGCAATTTTGTACTTATTTTAAGACAACTTAAAATTCTCGAGATGCTATCCTTTTTATCATACCCCAAAATAAATCCAATATCTACCATTTGTTTTTGGTTCAATAGAGCAAAACTCGTTAGAAATCTTACCTCTTCAACAGACAGTCCAAGAGCAGCTGAAAATATCTCTTTCAAGAGGCTCTCTGATGTTTTTCCTGATCCCGTGAATTTTAGGGAGTCTGGACTATGGAGTATGTTGAACTCTCCGCTGGCATTTGAACCTAAAACATAATAATAACGGGTTATGCTATTGTCCGACATATTTTATATCCACGTAGTTTTTAAATATACTTACCAATTATTGAAAGAACAAGAGAAACCCAAAACAGAGCCATGGTCACAGCCATTTTGTTCGGAAAAAGGCGACTGACTGTCATATGATTTCGGTATTGCCATTTTAGTTGTTTTTACTACCAACCAAACGACATAAAACGTAAAAGCACAAGACAACACTATTTTCTGTAAAAAATAAAATTAAAATGATTACATACTAGATTAAATAAGACATTATTGCCTAAGTGGCGGTAAGTGCGACTTTTAACTTTTAAGTTCCTATGTTCTTGTTTCAGGTTCGATTCCAGGACTTGGCATAGTATCATTTCGGTTTTCAAAGATTTTATGCGTTAGAAGTACTCCGAAGCGGACTTTGTAATAATATTATTGGAATAAGCTCATTTCCTACCCACCTATCCTTATTACATGGAATTTATAATGATTGAAAAGAATAAAGTGGTTTTCAATAGAGGGTAATTGCAGGTAGGTAAAACGAAATGCATACAGGAATTCGGGAATTCCGATTCCGTCTCACTCATATTTTGACATTTGACAATTTGACATTGACATTATTGACAATTTTCAATATTTTTCATTTCGACTTTCGACTTATTCGACATAACGATTTACGGTGTCACCATTCAACGATTTCGATCTTATGTACCTTTAATTCAAATCAAAATAAAATGTTGTTGTTGTCAAATATATAACAATATCAAAAACTTAATTTCAACGTAAAGTAAATTTCAATGTAAAAGAAATCGAGAGTCACATTATTGTTTATGTGTTGCCCAAATATTTTGTAAACACTGGGCTGTAATTTGTAAATAATGGCACAAAGAAAATCACTTGCACAAAACACAGATCTTTTCCCTCGGGAAATAGATATTGAGATATGTTTGAAAACGTTGAAAATATATCAAAAGTTAGAGGGAGACGTTAACTGTGTTGTTTGGGACGCAGCATTAGTACTTGCGAAGTACCTTGAAACTATGTGCCAGAACAAACCAGAATTTCTCAGCGGGATAAGAGTTCTTGAATTAGGTTCTGGAGTAGGTGTTGTCGGTCTCACTGCTGCTACATTAGGGTGCGTTGTTAATTTATAAATTTTATCGTAATTACAATACAAGCCCACATTCAGAAACAAGTGTTTTATTAATTTTTTATAGTGCACAAGTAACATTAACGGATTTACCGGAGGCCCTACCTTTGATTCGTCTAAACATCAATGAAAACAAAGCAAAGATAGGTAGTATGGGTGGTTATGCAATAGCAGAGTCTCTCATATGGGGAGAAAGCAGCTCTCTTTTGGATGATGAATTTGATGTTGTGGTTTTGGCAGACTGTGTTTACTATGAAGAGGTAATATTTTGTAATACATTGTGTTTTTAATACAGTACAGTTATTTGATGGTTATAGCTAAAAATAAAATGAATTTAAGAGAAGAATAAAAAAAATGTCTTTTCAAGAGATACTGGAATAAATATATCTCTCAACTCGTTGAGTACCGTCATTATAGACACAATTAAAGAACAATAGGTTGCGGTCACTGGTGACCATTCGGTGTTTGACAGTTTAATTAATCGTTAGTATGCCAAATAGTAATAAAACAACTTTAATTTCAGGCTGTTGACTCACTTATTCAAACTCTAAAAAGTTTAACAAACACATCATCTAAGAAACCTGTTATGTATTTAACACAAGAGATGAGAGATTCTGATACACAGAGGGAACTATGGAGTTCATTTTATGGAAAGTTAACAGACAACTTTAACGTGGATAAAATTCCTGAGGAAGAACAACACATTAATTACAGAAGTGCTGATATATTATTGTTAAGGATAAGTAAAAAATGATGTATAAATATCATTCACAACATACAGGAATATCAATTGGGTACAATTTACGATAACAATTTTTTGATATATTTTTCTTTTTTCTGCAGTTTAGTCAACATGAAATTTCTTGCCAACATCTTGCCATTTAAAAAATTCATCACTATAGGCCCACCAGTTTGGTCGTGAATATAAATTCCAAATAGGGTTTCTTTTGCATTTATTATATTAGCAATTAAGAATAACCATAGAATACAGGTGTAAGATGTGTTTATGTAATTGTTAAGTAGATACTAAGTATCTACATGTTATTAAAATATGTTAGTTATTAATTTTAAATGGAAATCAAGTGGGCTCTAGAATTAGTAAGTAGGAAACAATGATAAATCAACGGAATCAACTTAGTTGAACTAAATATTAATAATGCCTAATTAATACCTGAATGTAAATTTTGCTTAGCATACATGGTTTATCCATTTTATTCACATTGTAGTGCCTCATATTAAATTAACAATATTTTATAGCTGAGCTATATTTCACTCAAACTTGCATTATTTTGCAGCAATTGAATTATTAATAAGCAACTTTTACGGGTATTTATCTAAATAAGCATGATATTTAATATTAGGTAAATTGCATAGTAGGTGATCTATGTATGGAGGTATGAATTTTACTGGGTATGCAATAAATATATATTGGTTAAGATAATTAGGCTTTCATTAGTGAATTTCGACATTTTTATATTTTTAATTCTTTTACTTTTTTAAGTTGGGTGTACATATGTTTGTGCAGAATTGTTATTTATTTATTCTCAGTTCTCAGCACAAAATCTTGGAACTATATTTATCAATATCAATATGGTTAATTGTAGGGTGGATAGTTAAAAACTATATTTTATTAAATAAAATAGAGACATGGAACCTTGTTTTATTCATTCAGATATAATTTGGTAACTTTGGAACTAAGTGACTGATTCTCAATAGAAATGAGCAAGTGTAGACTGGACACATACCTGTATCTAGCATAAATAAACAAAAAAATAAAAAAGAATAAATAATAATAGTATAAGATGTGTTTTGGTATGGATATAAAGGAAACTACAAGTAGGTATTGTAAGTGACACTCAGCTAGGTTGCTGCCATAGATATAATAAATGAGGTTTTGTTTTTAATATTCCTGTGGTTGCTGCTTGTCGCCTTGAGATAGAAGCGTGAGGTTACATCTTGTACTTTTTATTGGGAAATTATATGTGCGGCAACAAAAGTTTTCTTTAGCACCTGCAACCTAGCGTCTTTTTTTATATGTGAGCGACGAGTTAATAGAACAGCTTCAATTATATTAATTCATCATCTTTACTATTCCAACAAAATATCAAGAAACCAGCGTCAATTTACGAGCGTAAATTAATATGACTCCGAGCTACCGATAAATATATTTACTTCTGATTTGATAACTCAGCGACTAATGTTGACTGACTGCACAGCAATTTTGGGCACCCCGAAACATTTGGTTAGGTTAGGTTAGAACTGCGACCCTCACAAGGCGCGAGGCGAGCGAGCGTAGCGAGCGGTGCCGCGGTAGCGGCCGCCGAGCGTTATATCACTAACTGCTTTTTAAATCTTTTCATACCATTTAGCCGTTTATATTAAAAATATTAGTTTAAATGTTGCGTCATATTAACAGTAGCTTGTTTTACAATATATGGTCGCTTATAAACCATTTATTAGACGCTAAAAGTTTGTCGCTGACCTATTAATTCATTAGACAACTAAATATATTTGCAGACGAGAATGACATTTTAAAGAAGCTGCCTTAATTAGCACCCCTTTTTATTTATTATTTATTTCGTTTGTTTGCATGCGTTTATCTCCAGAACTACTAGTTTGAAATAAAATAATTGCTTTTGTGTTCGATAGATTAAGAAAAGCTATAGGCCATAAAATATCACGGGTTAGAGTGTGGTAGAGGGTTTCTTTGGTTCGCCTGAAAATGAGCTCTATAGGTCAGTTGTAAATTGAAAATTTTCTCAGTTTCTCATAAAAAAAATTCTAAGTCCTGAACTCCTTGCACACCCTTTGTTATACTCCAAAGTACCCTACGGTTAATAGCGAGCAGAGCGGGTGTAACCGCGCAGGAGTACTTAGCTAGTGTACAAATACGCAATAACGGAAAGAGAATCTGTACATACTTACAGTAGCTATTTCCATTGGTCTGGGTTTGTTTCGTCTAGAAAAGTTATTCTCTACCAGCTCTTTTCTATCATATATGTTATATGGTATGTTAACTTCCAAAGTCACTCAAACATTTTAACCGATCCCATTTTAGAAATGAGACAGTGATCTCTGTATCACCGTGATGGGATTTTTCGGAAAGTTCTTGTGTAAGTACCTATATGATTTACTATCATTATTTGGATATTTTTTACCTCTACAACTATTTTCCAACGTAGAAAAATATTATGATCTTCGAATGTTTACAACAATTTTGACAGCAAATCCTGCCAGCATTTATCAAAAAAGTATTTTCTATCAAAGAAAACGATTCGAAAATCGCAAAGTAAGTACATGACTTTCCACTTTCGTTTGTTATCATGACGACTATCCACTGATTTATTTATTACTATATCTATAGACTAAGTAATCGCAGATCACGATTAGTCACGATTCTGATCGGTACCTACCCTTTTTTATGGGATAAAAAAGGGCAGATGCACAGAACATAAATACTCTACGAGGGCAGATGCATCACCTGTTGATAAACAATCGGCACTGCACCGTCCATGGACGGGAACACAAGAGGTGTACCAATTTAAGGATTGTTCGGGATTCAGGGATTGGGGAGCTTAATTAAACCTCCGGGCATTCCGGCTTGGAATATCCGATGGCGCACCACGTTGGGTGCCATGTTTCGTAGTTTGGGGCACGGATCGACAACATTTTTTCGGGATCTGGAAGGTCATTATTTAAGAGTAATAGATGTGTAAACCAAGGACATTGGAAAAAATAATCTTTTTAAACGTCCTCCTTATCTATAGATAGATATTCACGGTTAACTGCCGATTTTAATAATTCTCCAGACTCTTCAGACAGAAACACCATACAAGTAACGACAAAAGCGACGTAGGTACACTACGCTCGGGGTCTGGTTCTGGTCGGGCGGCGAGCCACCCATGCTCACCGGTAGCCGGAGATCGTCACGCGATCCCCGACACCCGGAGTGTCACACTAGGGCCGGACGCGAGAGGTCGCCGTCGCCGATCACGTCCCTGAGGGTACGGCGGGCTCAGCTCAGCCCACGCAGGGCATTCCCCTACAGTGTGTTCCACCGTGTCCTCAGGGCGGTCCTCGCAGTGTCATACCCGGGCGTTTCTTTCCGTACTGTCAGACACAGGTACCTCCCGAAGCTCTCATGTCCGGTGAGGACTTGCGTTTGGCGGTAGGTGATGACGCTGTAGCGTCTCTCAAGCCATGCCTCAAAGAGAGTGCTTACCGCTGCAATGGCGGCGAGTCCAGCCCACTGTTGCGACAGTCGCTGCCATTCTGCCATGAGATCGCGCCGGAGCACTTCCCACTACGCACTAATCTGGCGCGGCAGCGGAGTTTCGCCCCGGCGATGTGCCTCCGAGCGCAGACAAAATACGCGCGCGAGCACCTTCACCTCCAGACCCCACGGCGGCACTTAAGACCATAACATTTTCATCAGGTAAAAGTTTGGTTCGGTTGGTTCCATGGATGCAAGTAGTTACCCATAAATCGTTCATATTGTTTCACAACACTAGTACCTCTACGTCTGTAAGTACTGAAAAACTTGCCCTATCTTTTATCTCTGAAGAGTAGAGTCCTCCAGTACTTATGGCTCAGTTCAAATGTTGTCATTACTAACACACCTTAGACGAGTTACACGGCGTTCTAGTCAGTTTGGGTAAAAAAACTTAACTTGGAACGTTGCACATCTCCTTAAAATTGCTTGTTATTGATTCGTTCAATGGTATATGAAGAGGCAGAATACAGTCCCTAAGTACCTATTGGTACCTAAGTATTTTGTAAACCTCGGGCGATCACGTAACACTCCTAACGTGCAAAAATCCTCATAATTATACTGGTCATTATAAGCAATTTTAGGTCTACTTCTGTATTTTCTAAGTATCCCAGGCATACTCAGAAAACTCTCAATGATACACTATCATGAATTGCTACAGCTCTATAAAACTCTCCTTCCTGAAGCAGAGTAACTGCCCTGGCAGCGGTGTCCTTGTCCAGTTGTAAATCAGCTATAGTACTCACAATTAATACACAAACCAAAGAAAACTCCCACAAAAAGCAACAAAACGATTACCCTTTTTTTAAGGGGGGAAAATTATCGAATGACTGCTCACGCCTGGGTGAGGCGGGAGGGAGTGTCAGACTCTTACTGACTAAAAACCACCCCGTTCCTTCTTCTGCACGTCGAGCCGGAGCCCCGGTTACCCGTTAGGTTCTCCGCGACAAAACGATTACCCTTACAGTGACACCACGAATATAACACATACCTATTTCTTCATATCACGTTTTTGTCAAGCACTTCACTATTTCTGCTTATAAAACGCACAAACTTTTGTCTGAAACGTATTTACTCATGAACATGTTAACTACATAATCAATTGCTTTATTAAACATAAGATAACATAACATCACGCCTTTTATTCCCGAAGGGGTAGGCAGAGGTGTACATTATACCACTGTACAATAACACCCACTTTTCACTATTTATGTGATGAGTCCCATGTAATAGGGAGTGAGCCTATTGCCATATACCGGGCACAATTCCAGACTCCGTGCTACTACTGAGATAAAAAATTCCCGGAATCGAACCCAAGACCCCTTGCCCAATTGCTTTATTCTAGGAATTAATACCTCTTGCGTTATTTCAAGACAAATATACGAAACTAGCGACCCGCCCCGGCTTCGCAGGGGTGCAATATGTGTGTATTATACACATAAATCTTCCTTATGAATCACTCTATCTATTAAAAATCCGTTGCGCAGTTTTAAAGATCTAAGCATACATAGGGACAGACAGACGGCGGATAGCGACTTTGTTTTATACTATGTAGTGATATGCGTTGGTGGCTCCCATTTTGTTTAACAAGAGATTTCAGATACAGAAAAAATAAGTTTATTAAATAAACATTTAAGTATTATCACATTCTATTCTGTTGAAAATAGAAACAAAATAATTCTGCCTAAAATCTCACAAGAATCGGTCGAGATTGCATTCCCCAAATACCGGGTGTTTGGCGTATCTATTAAACAAAGGACGCAAAAAAGTTAGGTACCAACCTACCTATTTTGAGTTTAAGGAAACATTTTGGGTACTTAATAATAGTACCGAAGGTTTTATGGATAAAGGGTTTTTTTTTTTTTTTTTAAGGGGGGAAAATCATCGAATGACTGCCCCCGCCTGGGTGAGGCGGGAGGGAGTGTCAGACTCTTACTGACTAAAAACCACCCCGTTCCTTCTCCTGCACGTCGAGCCGGAGCCCCGGTTACCCGTTAGGTTCTCCGCGACATGGATAAAGGGTAGCTATCTATCAGTGATCTATAGAAAGTAACCAATGGTATGGGACCATCGATGCTAGCGCCATTTTGACACTTGACAGTTGCCAACCCTGCCAACCCCGTGCTAATCTGTGCTCTGTCATTTGACTTTTCTGTACGATAAATTATTGACAATTTGAATTATTTTGACATCTTACATATTATTTGATGAAAGTAAAACTGTTCGGCGAAGCTTTTATTTTGAAGTTGAAAAAGAAATTAAATATACCTTATTATGAATAAAGATATAAACCGGCGCAAAGTAACTTCTCTTGGCAACTCTTGGATAATTTGTAAATCGAAATCCCATCCAGGACATGTGTATTATTTCAATAGTTTAACTGGGCAAGCAGCGTGGAATCTTAGTGATGCGGAGGTACTTTATATGAAATTGTTACATCAAGAAAATGTTTACAAAAACTATAAAGTAGCCGTTTGTTATAATTTTGTCATGTTTATTTTGTAGATTGAGAAGGCAAGGCAGACGACTAAACGTCTTGAACAGTTGCCAGGTGCTGAACTTGCATGCCCAGAACCGAAGGATAAACCACCAAGTCCTTCCCCAAATGCTGAACCAATTCAACCAGCCCTTAAGAAAAGAATCCCTCCTTTCGAAAATCCTCAATTGAATATTATTCCAGAACAACCATCATCTCTTTTGGCAAATTTGAATGTTCCTCTGAACCAAATGACAAGTATTTTACAGGGCACACAAATTGCTAATGCTTCTTCTTTGGGTCCTATTTGTAATATGAATTTATTAAATAATCCTACACATACTTTCAATTTGAGTAATCCTACTCCTATGTATAATCCTAAGGTTTGGGCAGTTCCTCAAGCACAACAAATTTTCATACCAACACCAATAGCTCCTATAGTGAATCAAGGACCAAATTCCTTGAATGGGGCTTACAACAAGTTGGTAGAGTCTTCTACTGGAATCATTTTGGATAATTTAAACAATGCAAGTGCTTCAAGTATTCAAGTAGGGTCCTATGCATTTAACACAAGGGATTTGAAGTTTAGAAAGGGATTTCAGCAGCCTATCAACAAAAAACATGGATTTACAAACAAGAAAGATCTACGACAAATGTTATCTTTTAAGAATAGGTTTCAAAGAAAACCTGGAGGTATTTTATTTTATAGTGTCTTTGCCTTATTTGTTTTCTAGTTTTACTCACTAAATAAGTGGGCTTACTCTTGAATCCAATTCCGATCGATCGACATTGGTATTGTGAAATTTCGTACTCTGGAGTTGCAACACTAGCGCCCATTGCATCCGTATTGTGTGGATATTGAATGAACTAAATGGTATTGAGTTTGGCCTTATACTCCATACTCTGTAAGCTATTTTAACAGCTACGGTTGGGGTTGTATAATTTTGACATTGGATAATTATTGAGATTTTATTGGATTGAAATTGCATTGACATTGAGATTGGTTTCAAGAGTAAGCACCAAGATATATTTTATGCACAATTATGTTAACCTCTAATTGGTAATTTTTTTATTGATGTGTTATTAAAAAGTTAACTTGGGCTATTAGCTACTCAGCACTCATTCATTGTGAATGTGTTTTATAGATAATACATGACATTTTTCAGGATCTGGTGTCTACGTAAATGGTAACCAACTCGGAAATCATCCTAATGATTTTCAAAGCAGAATTGGAAATAAGGTTAAATGAAAAGACTATTTATTAATTTTATTATATTTAAAAAAAATATTTGGTTGGCAATAATTTCAATGCTTTATTTTTCTCAGGATAGCAAAGGTACAGAACAAATACTTGAAGATTCTTCAAAGATTGATATAACTCCTATGAAGAATTTGGCATCTCCGGATTGTAATTCGGATGCATGGTTTATAGTTATGGATTTGGAAGTATTACTTAATGAGTTCAAATTTCTTAATACAGTAACAGATTCAGGTAATTGAATGTAAATATTTAATTTTATTTAACACTATTGGCCCGGCCATGCTTCTCACAGATGTTTATTAGTTTTTTTAATGGCTTACCACGGTTGTTTATTTCCCAATTTAGGTACCTAGGAACTTTCTCTTGATAACAAACTCAACAAAAAGTGTTAGCGATATCAGTACAGAGTACTAAGACATTTGATGTGATGACCAAGGGAAATAGGTGACATTTTATTCAATTTAAAAACTATGTATTATTTCAGATGAAATATGTCATCTTATGGTTCCTAAACGGGTTATGGAGGAACTTAAAATTTATGTGACATGTACAGAGAATGTCCAAGCGAGACGTATCCTACGATTTCTATCACAGCAGATTGAGATTGGTTATGCTTTCATGGGTATGTATTTATTAAATAAGGGTATAGAGTAAAGTTAGTAAATAGACAACATCATTTGGTTCAACACTTTATGTTTGGAAAACGTCAAATTGATTATTCATGTGCTTAAATGTGCTGCTGTAAACATCAAGTTGTTGTGTTAGAACCTGTGGTCTTGCATAATATTATCAAAGCAAATCTAGACATGGTCCACATACACTTTTTCAATTAGTGTGCACATTATGCATATACACTGGGGAGCAAAGTATTGGAGCCATTAGCGCTTTATTAATTTTTTTTAACACTATATAACTAAAAGAAATTATTCCTTTTAGCACTAAAGACTCACTTTAAATACTTATATCAGATAATATTTATCCAGAAATGAAAAAGAACAAACGCTAGTGGCTCCAAATCTTTGCTCCCAAGTGCAAATGAATTTATGATTTTAGAAAGTAGTAAATTCTTACAATGCTTAATAAAGAAATTGATGACTAATTATAATTGTCATAGGTTAGTCTTTTTGATAGTCTAATCTTTTAGAATAATATAGTTATTTTTTTCATATAGCGGAATATCCATGTGGAGCAGAAAGTTTGTCTATGACAGAAGTGATAGAAGCAACTTGTGCTGAACTAGTAAAAAAGAAATATCATTTTGTGAGTATTCAATGACATAAAGCGTTTTTTTGTTTTTTTTTTGTAAAATGACTGCCTTGTTGGCCGAGTGGTTGCAAGTGCGACTGCCGGGCAAGGGGTCTCGGGTTCGATTCCCGTGTCGGGCAAAGTATTACTGGGTTTTTTAAAAAAATCTCAGTAGTAGCACGGAGTCTGAAATTGTGTCAGGTATATGGCAATAGGCTCACCCTCTATAACATGGGACTCATAACATAAATAGTGAAAAGTGGGCTTTACTCGGCCTACAACTTTGCAACATGTAGCGAGTTCGAATTCCGCTCGGAACATCTTTTTGAATGATCCAAAAATTTTTTTTGGGTTTTGTGTCATGTGTATGTAACTTGTATGTTTGTAAACGCACCTACCTACGACACAGTAGAAAATCCTAGTGTGGCGCAACGTTTAAAAGAAAAAAATTAAGCAGCTGTAATTTAGATATTAGCTACTGAAGCTAATATCTAAATTACAAATATTAGACAATAGTACTTGTGCTGTACAGGTGTGTCACACAATTATTGAAAGTGGATATTCAATTATTATTATTGCTGTTTTCTTTTTGTTGCACTCTCACCATTTTGGTCCAAATTTATGTCTTTTACAAGTTGCACTGGACATGTTACTTATATTAATTTGTTTTAACATCTATACTAAACAAACAGGTATAAATTAATATTTTTTTTTTTAGATTCTTTTAACCAACGATAATGAGTTAATTACTAGAAACTCATTGGTAAATATTCACATGTTTACCATAAGTGAAGTTCGTAACCTTTTAGGGATTCAACCAAAGAAACAACAGATAGTAACCCCTAATGTCGTTCCAAAACCAAAATTATCTGTAAACGAACTTCTGAATAAAATAAAGATTACTGTGCCAAACAACTTTTCACCAAATCGAGACACTACCAGTCCTGATGCAGATATTAAATATGATGAAATTATTGACGAAGTTCCTGAGATAGCATCAAAACAAAAAGATAATACAGAAAAACCAGTATCATTGAAACATACTGTTGATGCTGGCATTCAGACTGATTTAAAATATAACGAGTCTAAGAGCAGTGTTTCGAAAGAACTCGAAGAGTTCCCTGGAGTATCAAAAAATATTGAAATCAGAAAAGAAGCAGTTACGAGGCCTCCTGAGACATCAACCGTCGTAAATGTATCTAAGAAGAGGGGAATAAAACTTAAACGTAGTGTGTCCAGTCAACCACCTGTAAATTCTGAAGAAAACAGGCAATTTAAATATAAATGGCGCAGGCGTAGAAACACTACTTCTCAATTGAATAAACAAATTCCAACTGATAGTAATGAAATAACAAGCTCTAAAGAACTGGAAACATGTTTTTCATCTAATGATAATCCGAAGGAACACTACGAACCATCTACCGACGATCCTGTGTCTGAAAGCACAGACAATAAAGTTGTAAATGACAGTATTGAGAGTAGAGAATCAAGTATTATTGCTCATCCGCGGAATTCTGTAAGTCAAGAAAATGTAACAATTGATGAAACTTCAACATCTGGTATAATATCTAACACTGAGAGCAGTGTTGATGATAATTTCACTACTTCATCAAATCAGGTATTTCATAGAAAAAACAATGATAAGATGTATAGAGTTGATAGTACAACTATGGAACAGTATTTAAAAGTGAAATGTGATGAATGGATATCTAGATTTGTTCAGATTATGGAAGAAGTTTTAACCCAAGTATTACACCAGGATCCACCATTTTCGAATTCTAAGTTACCACCTCCTTGGACATTACACGAGGCAGCTCTATGTATTGCAATGAAGTTCAGTGATTATAAAGATATTAAAGAGGCAGCTAACAAATTGTCCAATATGATCTTTTGTGTCAGTGATGTTAAAGGTAAGATGTCTACGTGATTTATTTTGTAACAGTTTTGCATCATAGTCGAAATCGCGCACCTTAAGTATGGCGAAACGGGGAAGTGCTGACTGTTGTATTCTATCAATACGATAGAATATCAACCTTATTGTTAACTCATATTCTTCTTTTCCCTGCCTCCATCGAGCCCTTTCCCTTTCCTTCATAAGGCATGGTTTTGGTCAAATTCATAAATGTTAACGATGTTATTTAATATTAATATCTTTATTTATAGGTAACATTGCGTTAAACATGACTGCATCTCAATATATGCAAATGTATAGCTATGGTATGCATCTGCTTGGTGCATTAATGGTAAGTATTAAATACATACTATAAATTAAAATAATAAATAAATATTTAAACAGCTGATATTACCTATGACATATTTTCTTTGTGTAGGAGGCCACCTATAACATTGAAGATATAAAAATTGCTGTGGAATCGTTAAATTCGCTACTACACGATATAAAGAATCCTTGCGTGGATCATAGTGTAAACGACAGTTTTAACGATAATGTTCACGAAACTTCATCAAATAATAATGCGATGTTACATTCAGGTATATTTTTGTAATCTTTGTGTTGTGTTAAAATATGTACCTATATTGTCGAAATTCATTTTGATTCTGTATTGAATTCACAATATACACTTCGAAAATGCTTTATTTTTTATCGATATTATTAGTTTTACGCTTTAGTATTTGATTGTTTTAAAAATATACTTTTTAGATTTACCGAGTAACAATGATGGCGTATCGGAACACGATCATGAAATGTCAATTGATGATAATGATAATATCGCAGAAGTCAATAAAAAATCCCCAATGAAAAGAAAACTAGTTGAAGTAAGTAATCTATGAAGCTTCCTTTTAAAAAAATTGTAACCGTATTTCTTATTCTTATTACGATTTGCTTTTAGGAGGAAACGCCGAAGCAAGTAAAATTTATTAGAAATATTAATATAAACCCTTCCTTGTTTAAACATTTGACTTTTCAAAAAAGTAGTACATCTAACAATGGTTTGATTGATAAGAGCAATTTGCAAAGCGAAGAAAAAACAAATAGTTATAAAGTAGCAGAAAGAGACACACCGTTAAACACTGTTGAAACAGCTACGAACACAACGGAAAAAGAAAATAATGCACCAACCAGCCAGCCAAGTATTATAAGGAAATTCACTGCATTTCCAGAGTTAGAGAAAAAATTGCATATTAGTAACCTTTATGAAAATCACGATGAAGAATTGGACTATGATGAGGATGAAGAGTATTTAACAGAGGAGTACTGTTCAGAAGATGAAAACAATGGCGAGCTACATGACGAATCTTTTAGCAATAATATTGAAGATACAGATTCACTTAGGCCCAATGAACGTACAGCTTTAGAAGAAATAGAACCTTGTTTGATAAATGAAAACAATGAAAAGTTTAAGTACGCAATGTATATGTTTATCCAAGAAATTAAGGGTGCTCTGAGTCAAGTGCAAATTTTATGGTGCGTATGACATGGTAGTTGACATAATAGTCATCAGTGATCATGATCACATGTTTTTGTTTTTACGTTACTATAGACATTAGTGTATTTTTGTCTTTGTTCCAATAGAATATTCCCTAAGGTCATAATAATATATGTATGTAGCTGGTCAACTTGCGACAGCTATTCTAAACTAAGAGGACCTTCGACTCTAGCGCCATCTCGTGAGCATATCCGAAAAACCTCATTTTGTTCAGATATTTGCTAAAGTGTTATCGAAATTCTCTTAACTAATAGATTCCTTTATAGAAAGCATAGATTTATAGGACTAGGTAATATTATAATATCATTATTTATACAGTGATCGGTGTTACAAAGTATTGGAGAATCCAGATGCATCAACGGAGCTGAGGCTTCAACTGCGAGCAAAGGCTGAATCAGCTCGTTTACATATCACTCGTTTGAGTAAATCTTTAGAAAGGTAACTTATTCTTTTATATTTTATTTCCTATATATAAATACATTTATTTAAGTCATATGAACTTTATGCTGCCTTTACTGCAACATCTCACAGATTCTGTTACCATATATTATGGGAAGTTGATGTGACCCTAGCCAACTATTTATGCGTTACTTTACTGAAAAATGAAATTTAATATAAAAAAAATCATAGCTGATTAAAGTAAAATTTTCTATTACAGTATGCTGGATCATGAGACAAGCAACTCAAATCGAAGTATGTCGAAATTATTGGTGCAAGCTGATGTGAATTTTGCTGAAGTGGATACTGAACTGCTTTCTAAATACAGGTACTAATGCTTTTTTATTAAAACACATTTTACAATATTTATTAGTAGTCATAGTCACTTATACTTTGCCCTACGTGGGAATCGAACCCAAGCCTGAATCACTCACCGTAAGTGCGGGCCTGCGGACGGCGAGCACGGGTGACTCGCCGCCCGACCAGAACCAGGCCCGAGTGTACGGCGTGTCGCGTTCCGCGCACGCCTCAAAGAGCCATCAAACCACCACAGATGGGGCCAACAGGGCTGAGCCCGATACGGAGTCGTAGAAGACTTAACGGGTTGCCGGGGCTCCGGCTCGAAGTGCAGGAGTAGGAACAGGTGGTTTTTAGTCAGTAAGAGTCTGACACCCCCTATCGCCTCACCCGGGCGGGAGAAGTCATTGAATGATTTTCCCCCCACAAAACAAAAAAAAAAGCCTGAATCATTGCATTGGCAACGACAAAAATCAACCTCTAAAGTGTACATTTCGTAAAGGCATTTTCAACTTTAGTATACCTTTTATTCTTACCTTTTATTATTTATATAGAATATTATTAAGTTGAAAGTCTACTAAAAATACATTGATACGATTTAGCAACCGATTTTTTGCCGTTATCATTGTGTAGACTACAGAGGCCTTAGTACCTACGAGTTTGTTTTACGTTTAAAGTAATCGAAACGAGTACGCGTTCGGCGCTGTAATTGGCCGGTTCCAATGAACTAACCAATCAGAGGCCTTAGTATGAGTTTCTTATACGTTTAAAGTAATCGAAACGAGTACGCGTTCGGCACTCTGGTTGGTTGGTTCATTGGAGCCGGCCAATCAGAGCGTCGAACGCGTACTCGACTCGTTACGATTACTTTAAACGAAAAATAAACTCGTACTAAGGCCTCAGAGCGCTGGACGAGGTTTCGTTTCGATTACTTTAAACTTTAAAGAGACTCGTACTAAGGCGTCTGGTCCTAGTAATTTATTTATTTATTTATTTAAGGACAACCAACAAAGCATACACCAAAATACATGATAGGTTTTTTAACATATTTTAACACTCTATAGTGTAGCCTTAATTAAAGGCTGCCACGACATGCATTATAAAAGAACAGGATAAACAACAAAAAAAAAAAAAAAAGTTCGCTTATCAAAAAAGACATCAATTTCAATCACAATTGTTACTTCTTCTCAACTTTTAAATTGTACAATTTTGATTTGAATATGTAGTACATATTGTGCAGTTTAACTCTGTGAGAATGTCCTACGCAGGACAGTTTTCACTTTGAAAAGAGAATAGGACATGTCAATATCCACACTAAGTGAGCATGACAGGCGACTAAATTGTTCTTGCATTCTATTAATTGAGGAAAAATGACCCAGGCTTGTTTTAAAGCCTTTACCTGAAAGCAACATTTCAACATTTAATAATAAGTAAATAATTCTGCAGTTGTTAGAAGTTGAAACTCATTATTTGAAATATTGTTTCAGGATTAGTATAACAAAGTGTAAAGAGTGCGCTGACGGCTTCCTGAAATCCGCACAAGATATCATATCTCGTTTAACGTGCGTTTAATTAAAAAAACAGGTAGGTATTACCCTACTGTATCTCTGTCTCGCATCTCGATGAAATGCCTGCTATCGGGACTTCTAAGGGCTCGGTGTCTTCAATCGTAAAATATACTTACAAATATCATTAGATCTGATTTGCCATTTCATTGTAAAGGCATAAAATAGATATACATGTACATGTACTATATTAATAATAAGATTCAAAGTCTATTATGGCAGGTAGGTCGACTGCTGGAGTCTATAAATATTGTATAAAGCGACCGACATTGTTTTAAAACAAATAAATAGGTACATTACCAGTACCTTATGTTAAATTTCTCTATTTTTGTATTTCAGCTATAATTTGATTGCCAAACGATTCTTTGCATATTTAATTCGGACGGCACGGTTGGTACGGTGGTTGAGCAAGCGGCTGCCGCGCACGCAACGTGTTGCTGGTTCGATTCCCACATGGAGCAACTCTTTGTGTGATCCACAAATTGTTGTTTCGGGTCTAGGTGTCATGTGTATGTGAACTTGTATGTTTGTAAACGCTCCCACGACACAGGAAAAAATCCTAGTGTGGGGCAATTAAACAAAATCGTTTTGTTTCTAACCGACTTCCTAAAAGGGAGGAGGACTTGACTTTTAGTGGGTTTTTTGGTTAGTTAAGTTTTTAGTTTATGGTTGTTGAAGTCGGTTTTTTAAACTCATCATCACGCTTTTAACCCTAGGTAGCCTATTGCCAATAGTCTGGGTACAATTCTTATCTCCGTGCTACTACTGAGATTTTTTTTTAAAACCCAGTAATACTTTGCCCGACCCGGGAATCGAACCCAAGACCCTTTGCCCGGCCCGGGAATCGAACCCAAGACCCCTTGCCCAGCAGTCGCACTTCCGACCACTCGGCCAACGAGGCAGTTTTTTTTAAACGTAGTTTTATTTTTATTTTGTTTTCTATTAAAACTTTATCTTGAACTACAAGTTCAATGTTGAATTTTTGAAAATGTAGTTGTTAAGATACTTATGTAGGTATGAAATAAAACGATTAAGTAAATATAATTATGTACTTTTTATTTTATTAACTTTATAAAAATGTTCATTCGTCCATGATACACATTATTAATCAGTTTTCTTAAATGGGTGACATGATTTTTTTTTATATACATAACAATTAATAGACTTGATTATCCATTTTCTCTTAAGGGTGTCAACAGACACCAGAGGGCGGGCATATCTCATATAGTCATTCTAAATTACTAAAATCAACAAATCAAAAAAGTATGGATAAATATATAGAATTTGATTAAAAGTTGTGCTTAAAAACATAATGTGTAAAGTAAATACTACCGAAGCAGTCAAGTTACTTTCGTATGTATGTAATATTAATAAGTAATAATAAAGATGGCACTATATTAATATTAGGTCCTTATCAAACAGAATTATATTGTGCATCAGCAAGGTACTTACAATCTTAGAAACAGTGACACATTATGATAAAAAAATACTCTGTTGATGAACAATAATTAGAACAGATTCAGGATAATTAATTTAAATAATTATTTGACTAGACCAGGCACTTAAAACTAGTTGAATCCTCTTCCTTCCATCATACTTTGTGCACAGTATCGCGGGAACTGTATCACGGAGAGTAGGAAGTCTGTCAGACCCTGTAATAGAAATAAAAACTTTGTAGGTATAGGTTTACAGACAGGTTAACAAAATATCAGCGTATGACTAGTCTCAATAGGGTGCCTGTCGGTATATGAAAGGGTTTTTAATGCATTTTGACGTTAGGACAAAATTCTAGCTTAAATATTTCTACTAAAGCTAATCTAAATCTAACGAAACTGTCGCGGAGAACCTAATGGGTAACCGGGGCTCCGGCTCGACGTGCAGGAGAAGGAATGGGGTGGTTTTTAGTCAGTAAAAGTCTGACACTCCCTCCCGCCTCACCCAGGTGGCAGCAGTCATTCGATGATTTTCCGCCCTTAAAAAAAATCTAACGAAACTAGCCGAAACAATATTAATAAAAGTTTTTACTTTACTTAACTCGTCGAGTACCGGTTTTGTAGACACAATTATGGAACAATAGGTTGCGGTCACCGGTGACCGCTTGGTATTTGACAGTTTAATAGGAAGTAGGGGAGATACTAACCGATAACGCTTCTATACAGACTGTGAAGGGCAGGATAATAATGTAGAGGCCCGCGGCAATACCAGCTATCCAAAAGGAGATGAATATCAGGATTATCAGCCAAATTATTGAGAACACGATGTTGCCCATTTTCTGGAAAAGAAAAAAAATATTAGATCATGATTTTTTTTCCGTCCAAGAATCGAACCTTCTGACCTTACGGATGAGCTTTTGCTTAGGTACCATCAGGTGATTTGGCTCGTTTGCTGAGGATATTTGACATAAAATATGCCAAATTACGTTAGCAATTACGTACATGGTTATGAAAACGCAAAATGCCCACAAAAACTATTATGTAAAGAGTTAGGAAGGTAGGTAGGTACCAGGTAGAGAGAGACATAACAGTTAAGGAATACTATAGTCGTAGAATCACATCACGTCGTATTACGAACTTAGTGAGTCGATTTTTTTTCTTAATAAGTTTATTTACCTTAATCTTTTTTGTATTATTTTATGATAAATATAATATGTATAGTACGTACGTTACACTTGCGTCCAAAAAAATCAACCCACCCGAGGTTTCGACTAAGTAGGTATCTATGTACCTACCTAAAAGTTGACATTTGGAGAACCAAAACTACTAACGTTATTGGAAAGTTTGGTTTATTACCTTTATTTTCAGATACTCTAAAATTCGGAAAACGAAGGTTATTGACAATATTGGCATTTTTGATCGCACACCTCCATTTCTTGTTTTTCACTTCATAATTGTTTCTTTATACTGATTCATTATGTAAGTTTAATTTAATTGTTATTACCTTTCAAAAAGAAATGGATACCACTCTTGCTGATAGCGCTGAATTTGTGATATTCTCCAGGCAGAATTGAGTCAGCATATCGTAGTCAGGCGTCATTATTTAGTTGATTAGCAATAAGGCGAGTACACTCATGGGTCTTAGAGACTGGTACCTTCAATCGATCATCAGGTTTGAGACAAAATCGGGGTGTTTCAGAGCGAGGAGGGCGCTTTTTAAGATTACGAGAAATCGAAATTTGACTGACATTCAGAGGCCTTAGTACGACTGTACAAGTTTGTTTTACGTTTAAAGTAATCGTAACGAGTACGCGTTCGGCACTGTGACTGGTTGGTTCATTGGCGCCGGCCAATCAGAGTGCCGAACGCGTACTCGTTTCGAATACTTTAAACATAAATGAAACTCATACTAAGGCCTCTGGTGTCCTAATGACTACTGCATTCTCGCAAATCAGCAGATGGTCCAAAATTAACCCCCATGCATCGCCAAGCGCAGCTACAGACTGAGAACGATTTGCACGGGATTATATTGAACAAGTGACTTTTGGAAGAGGTTATGAATTGTTTGGGGCGGAATTTCTTTTGAAGAAAAAAAAATATCTTCTGTGGTGGTGTCCGGACCTTGCCCAGGTTATTTTACTGCACAGTGATACATTCAGGAGACGCTAGAACAACATGTCATGCTTCAATACTGCATTTGTGGTTGAAGGTTTCCTACTAATTAATGCTAGATGGCTCGGTGGCTTCCGAATGGCGGTCGCGCAAGTTTTCCAATATCCGCGCCTTGATCTTAGTGCCTCACAGTGGCGTGCAGTCCATATAGGCAAAAAGGCTTTGCCTACCTTACAAATACCGTGAATAACACTACGTAATAAAAGATATAAACATTTTAATTTTACTACAGAATACTAAAATATAATTATAATAAAATTAGTGAACGCCTAAAATAAATAGTATAGCAACAATGATGGCGCGCGATACGTGTTGCATTTCGCCAGGCGTACCGTATATAGCTGTAAACATTAACGCGCGAGGCAGGCACGCGGTTCCGTCGCCTGCAAACCATTCATAAATTTAAGCGTGTAGTGGTGAACGTCATTGTGTGCGTAGTGCACAGACGCGTTTATTTTATCGTCGCGAAGCTTGCCTGCAGGCACGGCCTGACGACTCGTGATTGAGTTCGCCGCGTGCCGACCAATCACGTTCCGTGTCTTGGTTTACTCATTGGTCGCCTCGCAGCGAACTTCACGCCGCTCGCGCGTGACAATTTTTTTGTTTTTGTTTACGTGCGATGCGTGGATTTTCGGATAATTTTGTTATTTGATTTAGAATACGATTAGTAATTCTACGCAAATAATTTGTAGTAAACGGTATAAAATTGTCTATTTATATAAGTACATTTTATTACTGTGTTTGTTTATTTGTTAATTGATTTTGCAAAGTTATACGAAGAACTGTGAAGTTTGTATTGACAAAAGTTGGTAAAGAATTATAAACTATCGCAGACCATCGCTTAGTGATTAGATTGTGTGTGAGTTTTTCTTCTGATAGTCTTGTCTTGGTAAGTTCTATGAAAGTTACTTTATTTTAATGTGATTAGGTTATGTAACATAAGTAGGTACCTACGCGGAGCTTCCCGTCGCGGCAACTCAGTCAGTAAAAATAACGAAGCTTTAAGTAATATGTTATGTACTAATTATAAAATGAAATGAAGAAGAATAAGCTAGGTAAATGAATGTTTAATAATACTAAAAAATGTACTACCGCTTACTCGGCTCGGCCGCAGCCGGCCGCGCTCGGTTCGATTTTTCTATTAGTCATACCCAAGTTCTTAAAATCATAATATCTCTTGAATAGATGAACCAAACTTATTAATTCGAAGAATTAAATTAAAAGAGTAAAGAATTCGTAATATTCTTGTATTAAACGTGAGAAGGCTGGACAGGCCGCCAGTTCAGTACAATTTTTAGAATGAACAATTCGTTACTGCTACTGAATTGATAACATAAATTAGATTAATCGTTATACAGCACCTCGAGTAGGTAATTATGCAGATTAGTTTTACAAATCTAAAGAGAAAAATAGAATATTAATGTTTTTAAGTTGTTAGAGTAATCAATAAGTTGATGTAATACTTCACGAAAACAACGAGAGATGGCACTGTTACAAAGAATTGACGAAAGATTAAAAACCTCATAAGTTGAATTATGTTATGTATTTACGATGAGTTTAATCATAATACAATATTATGTTGCCTACCCTGTTCTAAAACCCTGTGCACGCCACTG